ACACCTACTACTGCTACTACTACTACTACTACTACTACTGCTACTACTCTACTACTGCTAGTACTGCTGCTACTACTAGTGCAACTACTACTGCTACTACTACTACTACTACTACTACTACTACTGCTGCTGGTACTACTACTGCTGCTGGTACTACTACTACTACTACTACTACTACTACTACTACTACTACTGCTACTACGACTACTACTACTACGACGACTACTACTACTACTACTACTACTACTACGACGACTACTACTACGACGACGACTACGACGACGACTCGTCGACTACTTCTGCTTCTGTAGCGGCTAGTGCAATCAGCACCGGTCCAACTACTACTGGGATGCAGATAACGTTATGTTGTTGGCTAGTGATGCAGCTTGGAAGTGCACTGAAAATTAAATTGTTCTTGTGCATTGCTTTTGCACCTCTCCGAATTCCAATCAATGATCAAATCCGATGTTGTCGCAGTGCGCACGTACTTGATGATGACATTGAGCTTGCACTGCTACTGGCTACATGTCGCTTTCCTGTGGTTCACATGTTTCTAACATGCTAACACGTCTGCTTCATCTCATGAGTCTCCACTTCCTGTCATTGCACAAGCTCCTAAAACATGATGAGAACCATGTATCATGGTTAGCAGACAGGCCGCTGCACCGGCGTGGCCAGCAGCCCCAAAATCACAGTCACGCAAGGGAGACCGGGAACAATGTGCATGTGCAGCAGCTTGTCCTGAGAGGAGTAAGTTTCCTTGAACTGATGGCTCTGCAATCGTGGGAACATCACTGCTTCCACTGAGAACAACACGAAGCGACAACGGCAAATCACTTTGGCTGTTCTGACTGTGCATTGCCTACACAGCTCACTATCCTTACCCAGGCATATTTGCTTCCCGGCGTCACAGTGCTCGAAGCATGGCAGGACCTGCGTGATGATGATGATTGTGAACGTCACCATAAGAGCAGTCAATAGTCCTCGTGCAGGGCAACGGATGGTTGTCTCGCGCCACTGGCACAGCTGAAAGGAAGGCACCCGATGAGGATAACACAGACCGCACTGCGCCTGCACACAGACAAGAAAAGCTGACATCCTTGCTTCGATATGTACAGTATACTGGGAGTACCGTCAAACAAAGCGCCAGTATCAAGAAGCAATAGTAAATTCAGGAACAGAATCACAACTATGATCACAGACACAGTCACGCTTGGAACTTTGACAGATTAGGTGCTCCGAGTCCTGCTGCAATACTGGACACGTATAGGGTTCAAAGGAATTCGATGCAGGTTCTGGGCAGTGGGCCACAGGAATAGCAAGCCAAACTACTACTCTGCCATCTCGAACCTCCAACTACTTCATGTGCACGGCAAAAATGAGCGAGTCCAAGCCCGAACCCGTTCAGACTCTTGCGATTGACTGATGGGAAGTGGGATTTTTGGGCTTGAAAGGAAGGCCCTATCATGTACAGCCGTCCTCCAGGCATGACCTCACCGGATTTAGCACTGTCCTTTGTGGGACGTGAAGTCACCGAGGGGCCTTTCACCTACTGATCCGCTTGGGATTTTCGGGCTCTTGGGTTTGGGGCGATTGAGATTGGGGGCTGCACCTAAACTGTGACAGAGACGCACTTGCATTCCAACCGTTGCTTTGCTATGTGGGCCGAATGCACAAATTCCTGCAAGATCTGTTTGACACGAGCCATACTGTCACAACTTCATCAAGACAACGGGCTGATGCTACTAGTAACAGTAGCAGCTGCCACAAGGACCAGATGGATGCCAACGAGCAGAATTATACCAGAACAAATGACGACAACGACAATTGCAAGCTCTGACACGCGTCAAAGCTTCGGAATATTTCACAATGAGGGATCCCCAACTATGATCCCACATATAAGACAGTCCTAGCTTCTCGCATTGCTTGACACCTCTGGCCCGCATGGCAATGAATCATTGACTCCACAGGCCCTAGAATGAGACACGGTGTCGGGTGCAGAGTCGGGCTGCGCGGCAAAGCCCGAGCTGTTCCTGAGCTTGTGCAGTCAGAGGAGCATCGCACAGGTCGAAAGACACGAATCCCAGAAACCCAAGTAAATAGACCAGAGTATCACATACGAGAGGACAGCAAAATACAACATAAGATATTATACTGTTACTATGATATATTTTGACATTTCATGACATGTCTCAGATAACCGCAGGTCACCGCTTGCCAAGAAACTACAAAGAGCCGTCGGGATCGCCAGGACTTGGAAAAGTGAACAAGTTCAGAAAATCTCCGGGGAACGAGCGGTGTATTGCAACATTCGACATAGTACGGCATAGTATAGTATAGTAGAGTTGAGTTCGGGATGATGCAGACTACCAATGACAGGAAAGCAAACACCTCCAGCAACATGCTATGGATAGGGGTAAAGGTGATAATGTCATCGATAACAACAACGAAGACGAAGATGACGACGATGACGGTATCGCACACAAACAGCACACAGACCCAGATGCAACAGTGCACACAGGCGTCATATCACAAATGCAGCTCCCTCCACCAAAGAACACGAGAGTCTAACCCCGACTGCCCAATTCGAACAGCGCTAACCGGTACCAGGTCTGTCTTCAGGGCCCTCTGCCGTTACTTTAGAGTGCCGCCTTCGATGCATAGTTCAGGCACCGGCAAAACGAGCCGACCCATAACTATCAATTGTAAATATAATATATTCTACTATGCTACCAACAAGTATATGCTAAATGTTATAGTTGCATGTGAGCGCTCTCCTTTTTTGCACATGTCCATGTGGCGAAAGAAAGAGCCAACGCAACTGTTGCGACGCAGTGAGACTTTGCAATGCGCGGTGCCCTCAGGGCACATAAAGTCACAAGCTGCGGCCCACACACCATCAGTGTTGTCAGTTCCAAACCTTAAGTGTCTCAATACACAGGTAGTACTGTCTAGCATCTCGCATGCTTGTTCACTTTGAGTCGGCTACTTGCACAGATTGCAAGGTCTCAAGCTGCTCAAACTCCTCCAGGGAAGCCCGATCGGGGTCGCTTCGAAAGAAGAGAAATCTCGGAGAACACTTGTTGGTTGCAGACGCTGACGCGTCTAGTGCCGGGCTTGCGATAAAACAGCTGGAATACGGGCTTCGGCTAAAGCTGCAGCGGCAATCCGACGTCCTTTTCGAGTTCCTCCAGCATTCCGACGGTTTGCAGCATGTCCACTTCTGCCGCAGTGAAAGCACCCTCCTCGGGCATTCAGAATTCAGGCGACAGTACCGTGCGAACATGATAAACGAAGTCTCGCATCGGCAATGCCTAGCGGTGGGCCAGACTTCTAGCACGAAGCATACTGCGGATGCTGGCACTGATGATCCCAAGAATACGCACAACAACGGAACACATCCAAAAGCTGAAAGACGTTAGACGCTGAAGCCACAGAAGGTAACAGTCCACAACCGTAACACTCTGACAAGCTAGAGAAACCAAATCCCCAGGACCCAAAGCTAAAGAAACCCTCTACGCCCGAAACTTGGGTCAAGGCCTCAAAACTTTAAATAGCAAGGTCCCAATCCCTGAAGTGGATGCACTCCTGGACGAGGCGTCGAGCGCGCCTCCACCGAGAAACTTGCTGCCTCTCCCGGGCCTGGTCGGCCCATCGCTGCTTGAATGGCGGATGTTTGAAGCAGTCTTAAGCGTTGGTTTAGACCTGCTGGGGATTCAATGCTGACACTTGCACTATCGCATATGTCCATGGGTCGGTGGAAGCAAAATTGAATCAAGAAGGCGATGTAATTACACGGTCACAGACTTGGTTGAGGTTGAATTGTAGCTACAAGCCAGCTCTCCCCAGAGACTCCCATCACGTCACAAGGCATCTTAGTTTTGGAAGTCCACAGGAAAGAATCTATCTCGCTGCTTCGGTTGCAGGTATCACTGTCAACTTTCTTCGCCAACATGTATTCTCAAAACTTTGTAGTGGCAATGCTATACCTGTCTGTACGCCACATCATTGCTTGTTCGGCAAAATTCCTAGTACCACCACAAACAGCCTTACCATTACTACCTCGGACCATTTGAACGACCATGAATGCTGCGATTGTCTTGGTTATTCCATGTTATTCCTACTGAGGTCCTACTGTTGTCGCTGCGGCTATCGAAACAAAACCTTCCATTCCATCGGTAAGGTCGTTGTTCATGCATGGGGAATCTCCCTGTTACAGTAGCAGCTGTTAGCATAGATGACGGTTACTGCTCTCTCGTTCCCGCTGTTACAAGAAACCGTGGCTCTTAGAAGAGCAGCCGGCAACAGTAGTTGCAGTATATAATACTGGCGGCTCCAACAGAAGCAGCAGCAAACTCTAGTGTCAAGTACTGGAAGCCATAGTAGGCGCAGCAGCAGCGGCAATAGTGCCAGAGTGGTGCCGGCAGTAGTTTTTGCCCCCAACCTGGCACGCCTATGGCGGCAGAGGTAGTTGAAGCAGCAGCAGCAGCAGCAGCAGCAGCAGCAGTACTAAGTACTACTACCACCACTTCCACTACAACTACCACTCGCACTGCCACTGGTACTACTACTACTACTACTACTACTACTACTACTACTACTACTACTACTACTGCTCCTGCTGCCGCTGCCGCTGCCACTACTAGCAGCGGCAGCAGTAGCATTAGCGGCACTGTGCATACATGTCTATATGCATGAGTGTGCCTGCATGTATGTATGGATGGAAGGATGGAAGGATGGAGGCATGCATGCATGTACAGCAATTATGCGTGTCTGTGTGTGTGTGTGTGTGTTTGTGTATGTATTTATGTATGTATGTATGTATGTATGTGTGCATGTATGGTTGAGTGGTGTATGTACCTCCGTGTAGTATGCAATACAGTACCGTATACAGCAACATGGGCCAGAATGGCATATGAAATTACATCTGACAGCAAAGCACCATCTCGCATCAATCAGTCCGACACGGCATGCTGACGCACACACAGTTGTACCCTGTCCATGGTGGGACGATATAGACATCTGATCGTGGTCTACTGCTGAGCACTGAGTACCGTAACCGATGATTCAACAGGCCTTGGACTGAAGCATAAACCCGACACACCGCTTTCCATCCGGTCGGGCCTCAGGAACATTTCCTGAGCAGCCATGTGTTGGAATCGGCTTGTGGTTTGGGTGCTCTGGTTCCGGACACACACATGCTGAAGCCAACATGCCCCAGCCCTGAACAACACAACTCCAGGAGCAGCAGCTGTCCAAAGATCCAAACGAGGCCTGGAACACCAAACAAAAAATAATGATACCCTCGAAAACTCAATCCGTCTGCAAGCGGCGGCTGTCACTGTCTCGAGGCTTGTCGCCGAAATATCGCCACCATGCAACCAGTTCCCACAGCCACTTGCCTTCGATTTGGGTCGATTTCAATGGCTTTGGCATATCGCCATCCATCCGGTAGCAGGTACGCCCCCGTCTTGCTCAGTGCACTACTACTAGTACTACTATCAATACTACTCCTCCTCCTCCTCCTCCTGCTGCTGCTACTATTACTACGACGACGACTACTAAGTAACTACTACTCCTACTCCTACTCCCACTCCCACTCCTACTGCTGTTGCAACTACGGCTACACCACCGCTTCCACTACTACCACTGCTACCTACCACCATCACCACGATGATCGCCAGGGTGACCAACACGGGATCACCAACGTCATGGTGACAATTGTGACTATCATCATGACCGTCACTATGATCACCTCAAGCTTTACCACTGTGCTTTTCGAAATTCAGGTTTGAGTACTGGCATCCGATATATCTAGCTGGAAATGATGCTTACATTCCCAAAGGCTTCCCAAACCAGATTGCAAAACCTGACTGCCGACGCGCCAATACTGCACGAGGATCAGGGCCGAGAAGCGAATGCTGTGCGACCGCGGCCGGCCCTGACTCTCAAGCAGATGCCACAGTTCAGCATCTGCGGCCTTCACAGGATTCCCACGCCTTGGGCGACGACGTCTGTTTGGATTCGCCAGCATGTCACATCACAAGAGCTTGACAACAGCCGAAGGCGCTTGCATAAGTTGTGAATGTTGTGGTGACCCGCTCGTGGAATATGGAGTTCTCTTATGTGCCAGAAGCGTCAGCGAAGAAAACGTCAACTCGTGGGACCGCTCTGCGTGTGCGACAGATAAGCCTGAACCCTGAACCCTATCTCTAGTGGGAAGATACTGGCAGATGCTGAGCCTCAGTATTCATTAGCTCTGCAGGTTCCTCGCCAAACCCACACTTTCATGTGCACCTGAATGAACGCTTGTAGATGAGATCTGGGCGCGGACAATCTTTAGACGTTAGACAAGACGAAGACTTGAGAGCTTTTCGTCTGCACTCTCTCTGAGCGGGAGAGATTACCTCCAGCACGGCTCATTAGCCGATGACAATTATTATGGATGCGAGTTTTTTGGCACTCGCACTCGGAGGTATACAGAAGTTTTAGGCAACATGGTCATCATCGTGCGACGACGAAGCACAGGCCATCACCATGAACATGTGCATGACCATTACAAGCAGTGGCGACACGGAGAAACACGGGCATGAAGAGGATTTCGCTAGTTATACATTGCAGCTGCCACAACGACGACGGACAACGACGACAAAGACGACAACGACTATGCGCACCACTGCGTAGTTCCCATTCCAAGAGGCGTATCCATGAGGTGGAGGCGGGTCACCGAGTTGGGGTCCTTCTCGACCAGCTCCGAAGGATCCCCATAGTGCATCGCCGACCCGATGCCACGCCAGAGGCCAGTGATTTGACGCAAAGAGCCCCGGACCACCTTTTGGAACTTCAAGGCTTTCTAGGTCCAAAGTGAAGATGTTAAGGCTTTCTGGGTCTCATGTGAATATATAACATTCACTCCATCAGATGCGTAAATATGTGTATAAATATATCGCGTGTGTATATATATATATACATACATATAGTAAACCCCAAGAAGTTGGAAACCGGACTAAGGACAATTAGTGCTGGGGTTCCT